AAACACATATTTTTGATGGTCTTAGGAACTGAGACACCAATTTGATGGTTGGGGGTCACCACAACATGAGGAACTGTATTAAAGGGTCGCAGCATTGGGAAGGTTGAGAACCACTGGTTTAAACTGGGTTAATCAAATGCCAAATGTGGTTTAGTTTAAGGAAGGATAACCTGATGCACACCAGGCCAAAACTTCCTACCTTCACATATCCATGGATGGGGTCTGAGATAGCCATTACTAACCAAGAGAATGATCTTGAAGTCATAGTGGACAACACGTTGAAGACATCAACTTAGCTTGCAATAGCAGTGAAAAGGAGAAATTGCATGCTAAAATGACCAGTACATTAATACTCTTGAGCAAATCTCAAATATGTCCCAACAGTGTCTGGGAAAGGGTAAAGGTATCAGAACTATCAGAACTATGCCAAAGATGCATATATACAAATAATCAGGCTTGACCCCACCTTGATTTCACTCAGGATGATCAAAACTGAGTTCTTTTTAAGATCATTTATTGCATACACTGATTGTTTGCCGCTGAATATTTTGTTGAGATATATTAGGGTTTGTCTATTACTTACATTTTAATTGATTTATCTCTACTGTGGAGGTTTTATGTATATATTATTGAGTACTTACCACGGGTGCTTTCTGAATTATTTACTATGGAAATTTTATTTAACACTGTCAATCATCAGGAATCCTATGGGATTCAGTAATACAAATGAATGAATGAATCGATCAATTAAAACTATTTAAACTAGTAGCCATCACCACATCTTGTGACAGTAATTTAATTATAAACTGGGGAATTACTTTGGGGTACAGAGGGGAGATCATCTAAATCTCCACCTACCTACCATGGTGGGATGCTAAATTTTTGAGAGAGATGACAACGGAGAAAGAACATAAAATGACATTGTGTGAGTGGGATGGAAGAAGTGTACAGGTAGGGCGTTCCCCTACTCCTTTTAAAACCCTTGGACTAGCTTTATTTTCATTTTAATCTCCCACAGTTCCACAGTATGATTCTATGCCAGGGACACTGTGGGTGATTAAAACATGTTTCTGGCTCCCTGAGGCTGAATGTAACATGGTGGATGTATATTCCTGTTGCCAAAGGGACCAGTGGTGGGATTCATTTTTTTTTTACTACGGGTTCTGTGGGCATGGCTTGGTGGGCGTGGGTGTGGCAGGGGAAGGATACTGTAAAATCTCCATTCCCTCTCCACTCCAGGGGAAGGTTACTGCAAAATCCCCATT